CGTTGGTTTCCCTGTCCAGGGAACTGTCCTTGGTTTCTGTTTTCAGGGTACTGTCGTTGGTTTCCGTGTGTATGGAACTGCCCTTGGTTCCTCTTTTCAGCGAACTGTCCTTGGTTTCCTTCTCCGAGGAACTGTATTTGGTTCCCCTGTCCAAGGGACTGTTCTTGGTTTCTGTTTCCAGGGAACTGTCCCTGGTTGCTACTACGTCGGAACCGCCCTTGGTTTCCGTATCCAGTTAACTGTCCTTGGTTTCCTTCTCCGGTAAAGTATCCTTGGTTTCCTTGTCTGGGGAACTGTCCTTGGTTTCCTTGTCCGGAAAGTGTCCCTTGTTTTCTTTTCCTACCCTCTGAAATAGATTTTGTTCAAATGTTTTGAATTTTTCAAAATCGGTGGGTTTTCCCAGTCAAAGTGAGAGTTTTGATGTGGTATAGTCAGTTGAGATTAAGTGTTTCCGTGGTTACGTGCGAGTTGATTTCTCCGATTCAAAAAAATTTGTTTTAGGACTAGCTAAAATGCGTAACCTGATTTCCGTCACTATTTCGATTGAGCAGCCGTGTTGCTTCGGCCACGATAAGCCAACAGAAAGCGGTTAACTTAAACGATTTCATATATTTCAGCAAAGGGAACACTTTAACTTGGTAACGGTTTTCGGTGCATTTATAGAGCTCCGAAAGCGATGCTGATGTTCTGTAGTACATTTTGCTTCTGAATATTCGCTTGGATGACTAATAAAATTTGTGCGGTCAAGGTTCCATTGCAAATACTGATAAAAGAATGACGTGTTGCAAACATGTAGATGGCGAAGCGATCTGGAATTCCATTAGTCAAAATTTGCTGCTATGTAATTTCTGCTAAATTTTTTTCTGAAACTTTTCTGTGGCACGATAGAGAAAATCGAGCATAATGGCTCAATTTGAATGAGTCATTCCTAATAAGCCCGACCTGCACAAACGTGATTGCGCTTTACAAACAAATAAGTTCAGGAGAGACATAAAAGGAACATCAGCATCGCTTTCGGAGCTCTATAAATGCACCGAAAACCGCTACAAAGTGAAACTCTTTGCTTTGTTGAAATATCATGAAATTGCTCAAGTTAGCTGCTTTCTGCTGGCTTATCGTGGACGAAGCAACGCGGTCGCCCAATCAAAATGGTGACGGAAATCAGGTTACGCATCGTAGCCAATTCCAGAATAAATTTTTTCTATCGGAGAAGTCAAGTTGCAAGTAACCACGCAAATAATTAATTTCAACTGACTGTTTTGCATTAAACTCCCACTTAGACTGAGCGGATACAAAGTTTTCGAAAAATTCAAAACGTTTCAACAAGATCTATTTCAGAAGTCTAGAGATGAAAACAACGGGCGGACCCCGGACACGGAAACCAAGGACAGTTCCCTGGACAGGGAAACCAAGG